TCTACCAATTCCAATAACACCATTTTAGGAAACCACTCATTTAAAAGAGTTGTCAAGCCTTGTGTTACAAATAAATGTACAACCGTAATGTCAGCCTGCTCCCTATACTGTAATTGTAAATTAGAAAACTTTTGCAAAAATAAGAATTTAAAAAACAAAGTAGTGTAAAATAACATTGATGTATACTACTGTCATTTGTCAAATAACAAAATAAGGAAACAATCGACCAATAACCCTTCTTGTTATTTTTTAAATTTAGACACCATCCGTATCACATGGATGCTATATTAACTCAATATATATATATATATATATATATATATATATATATATATATATATATATATATATATATATATATATATATATATATATATATATATATATATAAATGGCCAGCGGGCGGCAGTAGCTGAAGTGATGAAGGATGATAAATCAACAAGGGCCACAACCCCTTCCTCTAACATGATGGCCTGGATGAGAATTGACGGAATGAATAGCCCCATTTCCCCAATTAGCTGTCTATACCAGCGCCCATCTGATCAAGATTTATGGCCCATTAATTGGTGTTTCATTTAGTTGGTGTTGGTGGCATAGGTCAGCGTTTGGGGTCGCCTTTGACCTTCACCTCGTGAGCGGATGCGTGTAAATATTTGATGCGTGGGGGTGAGTGGGACGAGGGGCGGGAGCGGACGGTGAGACATCACAGTCTGTGACCGTAGACGTCGTCTGCTAGAGGGGCTATTTTTAGAAGCGCTTCAAAATGGCAATTTTTCGAGGGGGGGGGGGGCGTATGGTAGGACTGGAGATCTCATATCTTTCTCAACCCTTTTGGCGCCCCCGTAGGATTGGTACCCGGGACCACTGCGTCCCCCCCCCCTTCTTCCCCAGTTACACCTATTTAGCCATCTGAAAAGCTCGCGTTCAATTTTGCAACATGTGTAGGCCTATACATATTTTATAGTTAAACCTTACGTTTACAAAACCAAAAGATGGTGGCTACACAACCCCGTTACGTCAATACCGCTATAAATATCTGCCAAATCCGGTACGGTAATTAAATTAATTAACCTAAATAACGTAATTTTAAAAAGTCGAGACCAAATTAAATTAAGAATTACAAGATAACCGGCATGCCCCGATTTGTCAAGCGAGACATCACGAGTTGTCTTCCCTTGATTAGATTAAGCTCCTATCTTGTTTTAACCTCAGCCTCTGTTTGATGAGGAATGAGGTCTTGAGCAGTTAATGGGGGGGGGGGGGGGGTGGATCTTAACTGATTTTAAACTGCTAGTACTAGTGTACTAAACACCGACAGTTTGAGTTACCTATGAAAGCTGGGCCTGAATGTCCTCAACTCATTTTAAACTGTTGATACTACTGTAGGAGTTAGAGGGCTTCAATAGTTATTAAAGCAAAAAACAGACAGCCGGTATTTTAAAAATTGTTTTACTAATAGAATCCATTCACATGTGAGTAGAGAAGTTTTGCGGGAAAGTTTTGCTGGTGAAGTTTTGCGTTAAAGTTTTGTATAGTAAATTTTTGTGTTGAAGTTTTGTTGAGTAAATTTTTGTGAAGTTTTGTCGAGTAAAGTTTTGCGTTGAAGTTTGGTAGAGTGTTATTAATTTTTACGTTGAAAAAATTGATTTAATGCGGAGAAGGTTGAGACTGCGACCTACCAAGTCTGCAGTCGCACGTCTAATCCAGACGCCTGCATCATCATTATATTAATGGCTACGACATGAGATTACCGTCTGCTAGATTTTAGCCCTGCTTTCACTCCGAGATTTGTTTTGAAAAAATACATACAACACGAATCCACCTACGTGAGGGAAAGTAAAGGCGGCTGGTTATAGTGCTGACCACACAATCGCTTTATATGCGTAAACTCTACTTCACTTGCCCCATAGACCGTCAGGTTTGAAAGGGAACTTTACCTATGTTCAGGGTTTTCTAGAGTTAATTTTTAAAAAAAGAAGTGATGCTTAAACTTATCGCTGTACTTTTTTTTGTCATATACTTTAAATAAGCATTTAAAGGTTGAATGTTCTCCTCGATAGATTAAAAGATATAAAAAACATTTTTATAATTAATTATAAGCTATAAAAATAATATTAACTACATGTCTTTTAATGTTACGTTATATATGTATAGCAAACATAGATCCTCACGTGAAACTCCCAGGTCTATAAAATGAGACAAAGAGAAACCTTGACTTAAGATTGACACAAGAACGTTTGGTCAACATTGGGGACAGGTGAGTAAACCAGCTCTGTACAGGGTTTCCTGTAAATCTCTCGTCTACTTCCTGCTGTAACAATATAATAACCTCACACGATTTGTAGGTAGGCCTATCTCTCGTCGATGACTTTTTTTTTCCAATCAAAGAAATGCATTTAACTTGATCAACACATGTTTCCTACTAGACGGCAATGAGAGAGACTACCAGCGGAGATAACTCGACCTGTACTTTCGTTTATCTGTCCAATAAATACATCCACCAGCCGTGGTAATAAAGCAATGTTTACGTGAAGACCTGTCTGATCAGGGGAAGATTTGCCTCCCCTCGTGTCAGTCACGCTTCAGTGAGCTGATTTATTAGATTGTGATAAGGTGAAGGGGCGGGGGTGACACCGGTGATTGAAATCACAAGAACTTGATTTTCTTTTACCAGCAGGTCAGGTGATCACAGGTAGGCGATAATTCAGGTAAGTAGAGGTTTATAAGGCAGGGGGCTTACAGTAGTTTCTAGTTATTTACATGTTGGTTAATCTTTGATTAGTGAGTGAGATTATGGGGATTGTTAACATGTGAAATAAAGAGAGAGTGCAACTTAAAGTAAAATTATGCAACTGAATTGTCACTACTAACGTGAGCAGTGATCAGAGAACTATCCCCTTTATTTGAGTTTTTTAGTACTTACACCTTAATTCTGAACATCTCACTAAACTAACACCTTAATCCTGAACATCTCTTAAGACTTAAACCTTAATCCTGAACATCTGTCACAACTTACACCTTAATTCTGAACATCTCTCGCAACTTACACCTTAATCCAGAGTCTCGGAGTAAAAAAACAACAAATAAACAAACAAACAAATAAAGCATTGTAACGTTTGATTGTATTAGAACAATGTCATCACAATTTTTGTAATCGTGATTTTTTGTCCTGATTTTATGCGTAGAAACCTAGTGAACTCAAGGAACAAAGAAAACTATTGTGTTGTTCACTGAGTTCCCGGTTAGAAAATATACTCAACCTTTACTTTGTCGTTTTATTGACGTACTTTTGTATACGCATATTTTACCTGACTTTTTCATCAGCTTAACAACAGAATAAGACAAAAACAAACTCATTATAGAAATTTAATTAACGCAGAACCATAAAAATAAAACATTGTTTGCTATACTATCACCGACTTTAGAGAATCGCTCTAAGCTACAGAACATACTGCACGTTTCGCACACATATACACACAAACAGGCACACACATACTCAAGCATGCATACATACAAACAAACCAGGCACATAAACAGGCAGTCATATACACTTATATTCTCACAAACAGGCGCATACTTATACATTAGTATACACACAGACAGGCGCATACACACAATCATATATATATATATGTATATATATATATATATATATATATATATATATATATATATATATATATATATATATATATATATACATACACATACAACAAGCCCCCCCCCCCCCAACACACACACATACAAACACACATATTTCTTCATCTCTGTCATTACCGACAGTTCCCACAACCCTTTCCTACACACAATCCCTATTCCGTGAGCTAAACTTTAAAAACATCAAACATCATTATCTCACCTTCCTACTAGAAATACATTTTATCAAATTATTAAAATAAATGTGTAAGATAAGACCTTATTCATTAATTACACCACTCTTTATATGCCAGATTTCAACCATTTCTCTGCCATGGAAACAAAGCATTTCCTGCCGGAGAGCTCCCTCTGTTTAGTATTGGCTTCCTATCATCTGTTCTAGCAGACGATATAATGCCGTCAGGATGGGTACCAGGATCCTGACGACATTCGATTGATTGGGAAATTGTCGCCCTGCTATAGCCAACACGTTGTAACGTCCAGTTGCTAGATGGTTATAATAGGGGTTGTAGACACATTATGTCTTTACTTGATACTTATCATTGTTGTAGAAAAACTCATATGTTTATATGATACATATCATAGTTTTATACAACCCATATGTTTACTTGTAACTTGTCATAAATGTGGAAAAACCCATACATTTACCTGATACCTATCATCAATGCTTAAAACCCATATATTTACTTGATACTTGTTATTTGGTGCAAACAAGTCCACATCTTTACTAAACACGTATCACTGTAATAGACCCCCTCCCCACCCCCTGCAAATCTTAACTGGATACTTATCAGGGGTAAACGAACCCCATTTTCATTACAAGACATCTTATCTTTACCTTATAAATAGACAAACATTTTATTCAGCTAGATGTAGTTCGATTTAGCTTGAAAGTTGTTTGACAAAAAGTGAATTATATGCTGCTCCACAAACACAGCCCGGTATCAATTTAAGCTGAGTGGACTCAGCGAAGTCATATGGTTTAGAGCTAATGATTCACTCAACTACACTGTATCAACGTACACCGAAAGCAACGTTTATTTGACTCGAGTTCTTACAGGACACTGGGTCAAAGGCTGCAGTTTATTAACATTTTTATTTTCAATTCTAAATAAACATACACAAACTCGTCATTTTTATTTTAAAAATTCAACTTCTATAATCTAATATGAAAAAAAAAATCTGTTGTTCAAAACGTGAAGGTAGATAAAAAACCCGAGAAGGCAAACACGTGATTGTAAATTAGCTCGCGATCTGAGCGCGCGGCTCACGCGCCCGTTTAGCACGCGCCAGCAGGACATGCCCTTTTTGTAACTCGTTCGGGGACTCACAAGCCCAGAGTTACCGTTCCTACTTGTGTCAGTTGAAATACCTCCGTTGGTTAAGTGGGACTTTTTTCAGTATGCCGCTAGCAGTAGATTCTAACTTGTGGTAAGCGCTTTTACTTTTTATTACAACTTAATTGGACATTGTGGCTAGCAGTAGATTCTAACTTTTGGTTAGCGCTCTTACTTTTTATTACAACTTAATTGGACTATGTGGCTAGCAGTAGATTCTAACTTTTGGTAAGCACTCTCACCTTTTATTACAACTTAATCGGACTATGTGGCATGTTTAGCTAAGTGGCTGCTGTGATTAAATTATTTTAATTAAACTTCTTACTGACTATAAACACATTGAGCACTTAGCGTATAGCTAGATTTTAAACTTAGGTGATGGCCATAAACAAATTTATTACAAAGTTTAGAGCTAGATTTTAAACATTAATCCTCTGAGCACTTAGCGTATAGCTAGATTTTAAACTTAGGTGATGACATAAACAGTTTTATTACAAAGTTTAGAGCTAGATTTTAAACATTAATCCTCTTACTGACCATAAACAAATTTGATTACATAGCGTATAGCTAGATTTTAAACTTAAACTTTACCGACCATAAACAGATTTATTACACAGTTTAGAGATAGATTTTAAACATTTTCTTACTTACTATGAACACATTGAGTACTTAGCGTATAGCTAGATTTAATGCCTGAATTTTCTTACTGACGAAAAACACATTTATTTTTTAGCCTATGACTAGATTTCAGGCTTAGATTACAAAAATGCTTTACCTAGCAACCTAGGTAATGTGATAAGAAAATAACAAGTTGGTGTCAGACAATAAGGATAGTTACTCAAAAGAAGTTGCGGTACACATAGGGTTTAGCTTTAGATTTGTGTCTTACATTACCGTATCAATTCTACACAGTTGTTTTTTTCTACTATCTTCGTTCACTTTGAAGACCGAGAGCTCAATACATGTGCTTTTTTTTTGGAGCGTGGTCGAGTCGGCAAGGCTCATGGTTGCTAAACCGAAAAGTCTCGATTTCGAACCCTCGGGCAGATGAGGCTCGTTAGCTGGGGACAGCCGTTCTTCTAGGAGAGACAACTCCAAAATCAAACAACTGCTGCCTTGTAGTTTTTTCTTGGTTGGACAAAGGCAGGCTGAAATCGGAGTCAATAACCAGTTGACACGTTTACTTAATTGTGTAGTAGGCGTGGTCGAGTCGGCAAAGCTCTAATTTTAAAAAAAGTCTCGAGTTCAAACCATCTGGCAGATAAAGCTCGATCCCTTCCAACACTAAAAATTAAGAACGAAGAAGAAAGAAAAAGTTGGAGTTCATGCATCAAAAATGTTGCGTGATATTTTGTCACAAAAATCAAGACTCCATCGGTAAACACGCTAAACAATGTCACACACTTGGACCACAAGTTGATATTATTTGTTTTTAAAAATATATTAAACCTGTCCATAGTTTTCGTTTCTAGGCGCACCCCCCCCCCCCCCCCCCGCCCTCCCTCTCGAGAAGCACATTTTCATATTTCGTTTACCCAAGGCGATGACGTCATTCATTGACGATTCCTCTTAATCGCACTACAAGCACCGTGAAGGTCCTAAATGGCATCTGGTACAAATAGTTCTGAGTCGATTGTTTTTGTTTAAAGATTCAAGGTCTTAGACTAGAAATAGAGATTCGAGGTCTTAGACTAGAAATAGAGATTCGAGGTCTTAGACTAGATATAAAGAGACAAGGTCTCAGACTAGATATAAAGATTCAAGGTCTCAGACTAGATATATAGATTCAAGGTCTCAGACTAGATATAAAGATTCAAGGTCTCAGACTAGATATAAAAATTCGAGGTCTTAGACTAGATATAAAGATTCAAGGTCTCAGACTAGAAATAAAGATTCAAGGTCTCAGACTAGATATAAAGATTCAAGGTCTCAGACTAGATATAAAGAGACAAGGTCTCAGACTAGATATAAAGATTCAAGGTCTCAGACTAGATATAAAGAGACAAGGTCTCAGACTAGTTATAAAGATTCAAGGTCTCAGACTAGATATAAAGATTCAATGTCTCAGACTAGATATAAAAATTCGAGGTCTCAGACTAGATATAAAGATTCAAGGTCTCAGGCTAGATATAAAGATTCAAGGTCTCAGACTAGATATAAAAATTCGAGGTCTTAGACTAGATATAAAGTTTCGAGGTCTTAGACTAGAAATAGAGATTCGAGGTCTCAGACTAGATATAAAGATTCGAGGTCTTAGACTAGAAATAAAGATTCGAGGTCTTAGACTAGAAATAAAGATTCGAGGTCTTAGACTAGAAATAGAGATTCGAGGTCTCAGACTGAAAACTAAACTTACGAAACGTTTGACAAAACTTGCAACAACAACTTAGACAAAAGCTGAAAAAAAAGTGTAGTCAAAAACTGCAGCTGTTGTTTGCCATTCCGAAATATTACACAGACAGCTATTCACCTTTTTCAACTCTAGCTGCAGCTATAGTTTACCCTCATAACTGGCGTACACAGTGTGTTCGGGCCAACATTGTAAGCTACCTGCATGTCAGGTAATGATATAATGATTTGTGCATCACAGCTGATCTATGTCATTGTTTACATTTTTATATGGTTTATCTAGGCGGGCCACACGTTTCAAATGTATACTGTTTTGCCTAGGTTTCTTTCTAGAAGTGTGAGAGCTATTTTTTAAAAGAAGTAGTTGTGATTCATGATTTGTATTCTCGTATATAATCCGACTGATATAATTTGGTTATCTGAAGAGCAGTGTTTCTTCCAGACTTTTTTCTCCGGTGGGGGGCACTTGAAATTTTCGGGGGGAGGGGGGGGGGGGCGGTAGACTTACTTCGGGGGGGGGGGGGGGGGGGGGCGGACACTGTTAAAAGTATATATTTTCTATATAAATTATATAAATTTCATTTCGTTCGGGGGGGGGGGGGGGCGGTAATGTAATGGCGCACACTGCAGACATAAACTTGTTCAACATAACGGTTGGGACATTCAAATTGTTAAACATAACGGTTAAGACATTAGTTTTTTTTTTAACATAACGGTTCAGACATAACCTTGTGTAACATAACGGTTCAGACATAACCTTGTTTAACATAACGGTGGAACATAACATTGTACAACATAACGGTGGAACATAACATTATACAACATAACGGTGGAACATAACATTGTTTAACATAACGGTGGAACATAATATTGTTTAACATAATGGTGGAACATAACCTTGTTTAACATAACGGTGCAGACATAACATTGTACAACATAACGTCAGACATAACCTTGTTGAACATTAACCACCGGTTTCTGTTGTTAAAAATAACCGGCATTTCTCACAGCTCATTAGCATAATATCGACCTCAAACATTTGCTCGGCCTTTTAACTAGTCGTAAACTTTTTAACTGTCAAGGGAAGCTACTCCACGCTAAGGGGGATAATACCGGGGTAAAATGTAAAAAGATGGAACTGTGAGTGATGGGGAACAAATAGCATACACATGTGTTCGCGTGTAGGTTTAAGCTTTGTTTTGTTTGTGTTGTTTTATGCTGCTGGAGTTGTATGCAAGGACCATTTGGTAAAAAAGTAGCCATTTTAATAAAAAAAATTGTTAGTAGTTGGTTAATATCTACTTGATTAATGTGGCAAGCTGCAGTTTTTATATACACATGCAGTGGGTAACAGCCGTGATGAAATTGAAACGCCCATAGCTTTATATTACAAAATAGGCACCTTTGTCAAGATGTTGATGTCTAATTAGCTTTTATAATAAAAAAGAGACAGCATATCAGTTAGTGATATTTTCTAAAAATACTGTCCGTAACAAAAATTGAACTGAGCGGTCAATGAACTGACTAGATAATACGTTCCAAGCTACTGACTAGACAACAGGGGTTAATTAGCTGACTAGAAAACAGGGGTTGATTAGCTGGCTAGACAACAGGGGTTAATTAGCTGACTAGACAACAGGGGTTAATTAGCTGACTAGAAAACAGGGGTTAATTAGCTGACTAGACAACAGGGGTTAATTAGCTGACTAGAAAACAGGGGTTAATTAGCTGAATAGACAACAGGGGTTAATTAGCTAACTAGACAACAGGGGTCAATTAGCTGACTAGACAACAGGGGTTAATTAGCTGACTAGACAACAGGGGTTAATTATCTAACTAGACAACAGGGGTCAATCAGCTTACTAGACTACAGAGGTTAATTAGCTGACTAGACAGGGGTCAAGCTACTGACTAGACAACAGGGGTCGAGCTACTGACTAGGCAACAGGGGTCAATCTACTGACTAGACATCAGGGGTCAAACTACTGACTAGGCAACAGGGGTCAATCTACTGACTAGACATCAGGGGTCAAACTACTGACTAGACAACAGTGGTCAAGCTACTGACTAGACAACAGGGGTCAAGCTACTAACTAGACAACAGGGGTCAAGCTACTAACTAGACAACAGGGGTCAAGCTACTGACTAGACAACAGAGGTCAAGCTACTGACTAGACAACAGGGGTCAAGCTACTAACTAGACAACAGGGGTCAAGCTACTGACTGGACAACAGGGGTCAAGCTACTGACTAGACAACAGGGGTCAAGCTACTGACTAGACAACAGGGGTCAACCTACTGACTAGACCACAGGGGTCAAGCTACTGACTAGACCACAGGGGTCAAGCTACTGACTAGACCAAAAGGGTCAAGCTATTGACTGGACAACAAGGGTCAAGCTACTGACTAGACAACAGGGGTCAAGCTACTGACTAGACAACAGGGGTCAAGCTACTGACTGGACAAAAATTATCGATCAAAAAGACGCATGTGACATCACAGAACAAGAGACAGAAACTGATAGCCGGTCTTTTTTTTTTTTACAATAATTTCCCTTGGTGCCATTTTGAGACTAGTTCTCCCCAACTCCCACCCAACCCCACCCACTTAACCCACACTGTAACTGTACTGTAGTCTGTGCATAAATCGACCAACCAGCAACCACACGTTCATTTTTAAGTAGTACTCTTGTCAAACATTCCCTAACACTAGACACTAGAATTTATTGATAAAAAAATCCCTTCACAACATCAACTAGCCCACATTCACTAACACTAGTTTGTTGATAAATAAAACATCACCACACCAACTATACCTCATTCAGTAACACCACAGTTTGGTGATAAATAAAACATCACCACACCAACTATACCACATTCCCTAACACCACAATTTGGTAATAAATAAAACACCACACCAACTAGCCCACATTTACAAACACCACAGTTTGTTGATTAAAAAAAAAACGATCACAACACAAACTATCTTTTGTCAATCCTTCTCAACTAGAGCCGTACATTCAATGAACGTGCGATCCAGTTCACGGTGTAAAAGTGGACATTGTTACCGATCAAGGGCTATAATCCAAACGGCTACTATAGAAAAAGGCAGATAATTAAACATTAATCAACCTGATCGTGTGATTGTCGAGAAGAAACAATTCCTTCAACTTGAAATGTTCGAAACAAAACAAACTGAGTTGTTCAGACATTGTGCTGACTGTTTTTCAAATTTCTGTTTTAAGCTGAATTTAAACCGTAAACTAACACACTTGTCAAAAACCATGAATATTAATTAGTTTTCTTTTGTTTTAACCCTTGCACTATATAACACAAGGGAGGTAATGCACATTAGTTGTTTCCCTGCCCTCATTGTTTACCACACAACTGCTCTTAGAATGCTGGCTTTAATTAAAAACCCACCAAGCACTTTATCATCCTGTAACGATCAGGCCACCGTATTCGTCAAGCATGTTACTGAATTACCTCCCTCTTGTCTCATTCCTACCCCTCCCCCTAGACTCAGTAAATGATAATACGTCACAGTCATAAGCATAGGGAGAATTTAGTATGCGCTGATAGCATCGCATTGCTATTTTATATTGAGATGCTAATATTTTCTTTGATGTTGAATCTTGAGTATGTAATAGCCCAGTTATTTCATTTAGTGAATAGACTCTTTATGACAATACAATGATGTCAACATAATATATGTTTATATATATATATATATATATATATATATATATATATATAAACATATATATATGTGTGTGTATATATATATTATATATATATAATGCTATATACGTCTGTTATATGTGTGAATATCAATGTATGTGTCTGTGTGATTATGCCAAAAGGGAGATAACAGTTACCTTTAACGCGTCTCTCTAAAATGAACTTAATCCTTCCTGGCCTATATGTACGAGGACAAGAATCCCTACATTTGGCCAACTGAGGGTCGGAGGTTAATAGCCCTCCCTCATGATTATTATGGCAATTACCAACACGCTAAGCTTGTGTCTACTTTTTGTCCCGGCCTATTTTCCGGGGTAGAAAGACGGAAACATATTGTTGGGGGGGGGGGGGGGGGAGTGAGGACAGTTCATGGCATGTAGATCGTGCGTATGTGTGTGGCCTATAGAGGAGTATCTGTCTCAACAGTTTAGGTTTGTCTTTAGATGTGAGCATGTCACACTCGATCTTGTTTGCCTGTGTTTTCCGTTAGAAGTGAATCTGTCTTACCCTTTATCCGTATTTCTGCCTTACCTCGAAATGTCTGTATGCCGTGTCCTTGAAAGTTCCTTTACCTTGCAATTCCTGTCTGTTTTTGCATATATATATATATATATATATATATATATATATATATATATATATATATATATATATATATATGCATACATATAGATATAAAACTCTTAAACATGTTTTGCCGACCTTTAAACCAGCAATACAAAACATCTCTTCTATTCGTTCACGTTCTTCAGACTTGCTCGAAACGCGTTAGAACATTTTGGGACATTTAGGAAGCCAACAATTGGATACTGTCTACCCTCCCCATCACTGTAACGAGTTCGATTCAGTAAAAATAATGCATCTGTCAGTCAGATTATAGAAACTGCGATCGTTTTTCATCCGGCTAATGCAGTTACGTCCCTTTACATGTAAGTTATCGCTCAGCATTGTCTGCACGTCATACAGGGGCCTGTACTCTACCAATATGTGCAGGGGCCTGTACTCTATGTGCAGGGGCCTGTACTCTATGTGCAGGGGCCTGTACTCTATGTGCAGGGGCCTGTACTCTACCAACATGTGCAGGGGCCTGTACTCCACCAATATGTGCAGGGGCCTGTACTCTATGTGCAGGGGCCTGTACTCTATGTGCAGGGGCCTGTACTCTACCAACATGTGCAGGGGCCTGTTCTCTACCATTATGCGCAGGGGCCTGTACTCTATGTGCAGGGGCCTGTACTCTACCAACATGTGCAGGGGCCTGTTCTCTACCATTATGCGCAGGGGCCTGTACTCTATGTGCAGGGGCCTGTACTCTACCAACATGTGCAGGGGCCTGTACTCTATGTGCAGGGGCCTGTACTCTATGTGCAGGGGCCTGTACTCTACCAACATGTGCAGGGGCCTGTTCTCTACCATTATGCGCAGGGGCCTGTACTCTATGTGCAGGGGCCTGTACTCTATGTGCAGGGGCCTGTACTCTACCAACATGTGCAGGGGCCTGTACTCCACCAATATGTGCAGGGGCCTGTACTCTATGTGCAGGGGCCTGTACTCTATGTGCAGGGGCCTGTACTCTACCAACATGTGCAGGGGCCTGTTCTCTACCATTATGCGCAGGGGCCTGTACTCTATGTGCAGGGGCCTGTACTCTACCAACATGTGCAGGGGCCTGTTCTCTACCATTATGCGCAGGGGCCTGTACTCTATGTGCAGGGGCCTGTACTCTACCAACATGTGCAGGGGCCTGTTCTCTACCATTATGCGCAGGGGCCTGTACTCTACTAATATTTGCACGTCATACAGGCGCCTGTTCTCTACCAATATCTGCACGTCATACAAGGGTTAAAATTGACAGTAGACGGAATAATTCATGCAACAGACCGTCAATCCACAAACACGTTGATTATCATATTGCTTGATGGTCTTGACTTTAGTATGACAACTACTCCCACAAGTTGAAGAAAATGTTTGTCTGACGCGAGTTAATGTCAGCATATTTTTGGAAGCTGCGTCAATATTAATCACGCGGTATCTGTCATTGAAATGATCAGATAAGCTCATCACTCATTTCAATGGTCAGATAAAAGCATCACAGTGAAATGGTCAGTTAAAAGCATGACTGCGGTGTAGTTTAGGAGATATTGAGACCATAAAAAAAGGATTGTTAGAAAATATCAAAAGGAAGTTTTAATTGAAAGAGAACTATTTACGGCCTATTGGTTTAGTTTGGTTTTGCTTAAGTGTTTCATGATTGGACTATCTACAGTGCACATCTAATGTTGTTCAGATATCAGTGTCTCTCCAGACACCCATTGTCGTTTCTTCATAGAGCCCTGTTTATCCTTACAGCCCTGTTTCTCCATACAGCCCTGTTTATCCTTACAGCCCCGTTTCTCCTTACATCCCTGTTTCTCTACAATGTCTTGTTAATACAATGTTATTACAGCAACACTGTCAAGTCATTTTTTTATGTTTAAGTTACACAGGTAACAGCATAAACTAGAAGCTTACGTGTGGTACAGCTTTCAGTACTTACACACTTTCAGTACCCACACATCAGTACCCACACAACTTTCAGTACCCACACATCAGTACCCACACATCAGTACCCACACATCAGTACCCACACATCAGTACCCACACATCTTTCAGTACCCACACAACTTTCAGTACCCACACATCAGTACCCACACATCAGTACCCACACATCAGTACCCACACATCTTTCAGTACCCACACAGCTTTCAGTACCCACACATCAGTACCCACACAGCTTTCAGTACCCACACATCAGTACCCACACATCAGTACCCACACATCTTTCAGTACCCACACATCAGTACCCACACATCAGTACCCACACATCAGTACCCACACAACTTTCAGTACCCACACAGCTTTCAGTACCCACACAACTTTCAGTACCCACACAGCTTTCAGTACCCACACAACTTTCAGTACCCACACAGCTTTCAGTACCCACACATCAGTACCCACACATCAGTACCCACACATCAGTACCCACACAACTTTCAGTACCCACACATCAGTACCCACACAACTTTCAGTACCCACACATAAGTACCCACACATCTTTCAGTACCCACACAACTTTCAGTACCCACACAACTTTCAGTACCCACACAACTTTCAGTACCCACACATCAGTACCCACACAACTTTCAGTACCCACACAGCTCTCAGTACCCACACATCAGAACCCACACAACTTTCAGTACCCACACATAAGTACCCACACATAAGTACCCACACAACTTTCAGTACCCACACATCAGTACCCACACAACTTTTAGTACCCACACAACTTTCAGTACCCACACATCAGTACCCACACAACAGTACCCACACAACTTTCAGTACCCACACATCAGTACCCACACATCAGTACCCACACATCAGTACCCACACAACTTTCAGTACCCACACATCAGTACCCACACAACTTTCAGTACCCACACAACTTTCAGTACCCACACAACTTTCAGTACCCACACATCAGTACCCACACAACTTTCAGTACCCACACATCTCTCAGTACCCACACATCAGTACCCACACAACTTTCAGTACCCACACAACTTTCAGTACCCACACATCAGTACCCACACAACTTTCAGTACCCACACAACTTTCAATACCCACACAACTTTCAGTACCCACACATCAGTACCCACACAACTTTCAGTACCCACACATCAGTACCCACACAACTTTCAGTACCCACACATCAGTACCCACACAACTTTCAGTACCCACACATCAGTACCCACACAACTATCAGTACCCACACAACTTTCAGTACCCACACAACTTTCAGTACCCACACAACTTTCAGTACCCACACATCAGTACCCACACAACTTTCAGTACCCACACAACTTTCAGTACCCACACAACTTTTAGTACCCACACAACTTTTAGTACACACACAACTTTCAGTACCCACACATCAGTACCCACACAACTTTCAGTACCCACACAACTTTCAGTACCCACAAAACTTTCAGTACCCACACAACTTTCAGTACCCACAAAACTTTTAGTACCCACACAACTTTCAGTACCCACACATCAGTACCCACACAACTTTCAGTACCCACACATCAGTACCCACACAACTTTCAGTACCCACACAACTTTCAGTACCCACACAACTTTCAGTACCCACAAATCAGTACCCACACAACTTTCAGTACCCACACAACTTTCAGTACCCACAAAACTTTTAGTACCCACACAACTTTCAGTACCCACACAACTTTCAGTACCCACACATCAGTACCCACACAACTTTCAGTACCCACACAACTTTCAGTACCCACACAACTTTCAGTACCTACACAACTTTCAGTACCCACACAACTTTTAGTACCCACACACTTTCCATTAGTGTTGACTCTATGACATAAATCACAGACTTCAGAAAAAACTACTGTTATTATTCTTTACATTATTTATTTCTGAACTCTAAACCACTTCACGCATAGGCCGACTCTAGTATTCCAACGTGGTAACTAGATAAAGGTTAGTGTAAACACACTGCACTAAAGCATGAAAGATTAAAGAAACAATAACACCAGCTCTGACATAATCCCAACGTTTTCATCTCTCCACTTCATCAACAGTTAGCACATCGTCTACATCAACCAACGAACCGCTTGTTCTAGATTTGTAAAGATAAAACAAACTCATTCAACTTTGACCAACGTTCGACCAACTTAACGCTCGCATTAGGTGTAAAGCGAGAAAGCGTTGTAAGGCTAGAAAGTGTTGTAAATCGCGGCACTGTTGTAAAGCGATTAAGTGTTGCGAAACGCGGAAATGTAAAGAGATGAAGTTTTGCTAAGCGCGGAAGTGTTGTGAAGAAAATATTCCCTCTGGAGTTTTAGCAAGAGACAATGAAAGACTAGACCACGGGGGAAGGGGGCGGGGGGTTATTTAGCGGGGTACCGGATGTAATGACCACAAGTAATAGCCAATATGTGACGTAATCTGCAGTCTGAGCCGACGCTTACACAAACCCTAACCAAACGTAATCCGGCAGGTTACCGGCGCTAAGGCTAGTTAATAACACATTACTTTCTTCAAGGTCTTGTTTAGTAACAGTCGATTACATAGAAAGTGGTTGGTAATCGATGTCCGGTAGTGGGAATGGATTCTTTAACACCCAGTGGAGACAAAAAAACGGTCACAGTTTTTTTAACGCTTAAAGGAAAATAAAAAGAAAACTTTTGATGGAGGCAATTTTATTTTACTTTTTAAAATTCTATCTTTGTCTATAGTGCCATTTAATGCTATTTAATGTTGCTACAGTAGAGATCCTTGCATGTTAAGTCAATTTGAAGTCATGCTTAATTATTTTGCTTTTATATTGATACTGGAAGGTTATTGGTAAAAGTTAGGGGGGGGGCCGCAAGAGGGGACAATTGCCTGGAAGAAACTATGGGTGAGGTCCCCTTCTGCAGATATTTAGGTAATGTCGCTATGTACATTTAACTATACATGTGTGTTGTCGAATATAAAATTGGTCATGTCTTGTGTTTCTTATAAGTAGATTCAAGTTTTGTCATTGGTATATTAGGGTATAAAATAGGTCACTTTATACTCTCGATTGTGTTCTACTTGGAATAATATAACATGCCATTGTCAATTCGTGTTTTCTTTTATGTCTTTTGATTTGTATACCATATTTTATATACGTGTTGGGTTGATAAAAAAGTCTTTTATTAAAAATAATACATTTTATTTTTGATGAACCCATTTAAACAAAAAGTTTAGCTATTGATAAAAAAAAAACATTTTTGTTGACCATATATTTTATTAAATTCATTTTTTTTTACTATTGTTTATATCTCCCAGACCTTCTCTAGCTTAGAAATATAAAGAAATAATTTAATTGAAAATAATGGGCTAGGTCACCCGTCGTTTTACCCATATCCCAATTAATTTGAGCTAGTAAATACGATGAAAGGTTGCCATACACCCACATCCAGCGACTTGAACATTCTTGACTAATTTAGTCAACGAAATGGAAACTTCAATTTCTCTCCCTGCGTCATATTGATTGCTGTCTTAGATCGGTGTAACCTTTATTTTGTTAGTCTCCAGAAAAGTTCCTGTCTCCGCGTCGCATGGACCAATCGCGGCATGAGTTATTGATATCGTTCCTGGGAGAAAGCAATTTTCGTTTAAGAGAACTTTAGACAATTCGTTTACTCGAACTGGTATTTTTAGCGCAATTTCCATTCTGGAGAATTGCGTTTATTAACCCGTCATTTCTGGATGTATGAATGTATGAATGGATGGATGGATGGATGGATGGATGTGTGTCCGCAGCTTTAAGTCGTATCTCCTCCTCAACGAAGCAATATCGATGACTAGTTCCAAAGCAATTATGTTAAGCAAGTTACGAGGATGAACATAGGCTATAAAAATTCCGGGTTTCTTTCATGGATTTCCTGGAAAAGCCAAAAAACCTCGAAAAAAAACAGTTTTTGGCCCATATCTCGGCAACCAGACCACTTAGCGACTTGAAACATGTACCAATCGATTCCTGCCATAATTTAGAACAATATTGCCGAAGAAAGTTTTCAAAAATATCCTTTCGTTCGGTCACAAAAAATTTTTTGAATTAATTAAAATTTGGACCGAATTAGTAGGCATTTTTTCCAACCACACCACACGCGTCGTCACGTTCAATAGCTGCACCATCACGTTCTATGGCTTCGTCATCACGT